GCGTTCTTGCCACTCTGAGACAGTTGGTCCTTCGTGAGAAAGAATCGCTTCTTTCCTCATCCTCATCGTCCCCCTCTGAGATTGCATCCGTGGCATCAGTATCACCCTGCACGAGTATCTTTCTCAATTCTGCACCGTCACCGTCGATGCAAGGGTCAAGATCATCTTCTTCATTCACAAACATCATGATACCTATCGAATTGAAGACGGTTGAATCGTTGATCCTTTCCCTCTCTCAAAGTCGCATCGGTCTCGGCCCACTGTATGAGCGATTGGCCGAGGTGGAGGAACAAGTGAGCATGGACAAGTGGAAGAGACGAGAGGTGGGGTTTAAACTGAAAGGGGAGATGGGGAAGAGACGAGAGGTCGAGTTTAAACTGAGACAGGAGATGGAGAAGAGACTAGAGGTCGAGTTTAAACTGAGACAGGAGATGGGGAAGAGACTAGAGGTCGAGTTGGAATTGAAAGATGAGAAAGGAAAGAGAACACAGGTCGAGGTGAGGTTAAACGATGAAAGGTTAGCGTGGGAAAGGGAATTCCTCCAACATGAAAAGCTCAAAGAGTTTGTTGAAAATAGTTTCCGGGAGGGTCAGGTCGGGTCAGAAGAGGGAATGGGACAACATGGTGAGTGGTTGAATACACATCACATCACACTTGATAATCAGCGCAGCAGCAGGCTGACGGGTCCAGTGACGACGACGCCCACGACTATCCAAGGGAATGAAGAGGTGGAAGAAGAGGAAGAACAAGCCAGGTATAGATTCTTCATGGGGACGGGAAATATCACACGACATCGAGGTCGTAAGTCGGGAAGGGAAGCAAGGCTGGTCGGTTACGAATACGAATACGATAAGACGTATGATTCTTGTCATACGGTCGACTCGATCGAGGATCAGGATCAGGATCAGGATCAGGCTGAGGAGAGGGAAAGGGAAAGGGAAAGGGAAAGGGAAAGGGAAAGGGAAAGGGAAAGGGAAAGGGAAAGGGAAAGGGAAAGGGAAAGGGAAAGGGAAAGGGAAAGGGAAACGGTAAACGAAGAGACATCGATGGATATGACGTTTGCGGGTGGAGGTATCATGTACACGATCATGGAAGAGGAAGACGTGTAGGGAGGGGATCGATCCTGTCCTGTCCAGTCACTACTACAACACAAACCGGACACTTGGTTAGTCATTATGCGGTGTGTGTTCACAATGAATGAATAATTGTGAATGAATGAATGCCTCCATCACATTCATATGTGGACTCGAGCTGCGTCTACCATTGAGCTTTTCTAGAATCCCGTGCACCTCGACTCGTCAATTCGCCAAACTGCCACATCGGTAACAGTGCCACAAACGCCCGCGCCCAAAAGTACTTACTGTACGCACTTTTCGGCGATAAGCATCAATCATTCGCCACCAGCCGACACTCGGCGTTTGGTTTATAACCCCGGTGAGGCCTCTAAACCCGTCTCTCCCCTTGTCTCTCTCTCCATCCACTCGTACTATCTTTCAGTCGTTACTTCCATCTCGATATCTTTCTTCTTCCTCGTGAGTTTTCACTTTCATCTCTTGCATCCCTTACTTACCTCCCCTCTGTCATCTCGCTGACTTGCAGCAAGCGCTCCTCGTCGTCTTTGATATATACCAACATACACCTTTGGCCGGTCGGCAAGAAACTGTCCCAGGTCCGTCTTGTCTTGCTGTTGTCCCTTTGCTGGCTCTTGTTGTCCCTTTGCCCCCAACGTGTCGTCGTTGCCGTCGCATCTCCACTTGTCCCGTTCGTTGGCTGATCGTTAGATGTATCGTCAACAAATCGTCACCTCTTCCCTCCCCCTCCTCCCCCTTACCTTCCTTGACGGAGCAGACATGACCTCCCAGTAGGATGGTCATGTCATAATATACTCTTGTCTCGGAGCGACGTGGCCTCCCCAGCAGGGTCGTCACGCTGCCTTCTCATTGCACATCTCGCGTGAACCGTCAACACTCGGGACATTGTTCGTTCTCCATCGACTATGAGTTGTCGCCTGGAACGCTTGGTGAGCTCTTGAAATCGGCCTTGTCGCATGTTCGCCGCTGACCGTTAGCCAACCACGTTTGACCACGCCTCGCTCGCCCCCGCATTGGACGAGGACCGCTCTCTTGCTTGGATGCGTTGCGTTGCGACGTGATGGTGATTGATGCCTTGGCTCGACTGAGTGAGTATCATTTCTCTGCTCTCTCGCTCACTGCTCTGTCATTTCTCTACTCGCTCACTGCTCTGTCATTTTTCTACTCGCTCACTGCTCTGTCATTTCTCTACTCGCTCACTCACCGCTGTCCATTCGCTCGGGGTTATTGACTCGTCGTGTATTGTCGCCAGCCTTGTGGGTACGAGCTGATGGTTGCAGGGTTACGCGGTACACGGTTGTTGAAGCGTGTCGACGACAAGTCGGTCTTTGGATGTTGCGTCGGGGTTGTTTGAATGTGTTTGTGTGTGTGTGTGTGTGTGTGTGGGTGGCCGGTCTGCATGACATCGATGTTGACCATTACGGCGCGCAGCTAGTAAGTTATAGATGGCCAGCAGCGAGCGAGCCAGTCTTGTTGTCTTGCCCTTGACGTTGCCCAACGACTAAGCATGCGCTCCTGTCGCCGTTGATTGCCACGTTGCATGCATGCTTCGGACGACTGTGGTCTTTGATGTCAAGATTACTAGTGATTTCATGTTGCTTGTTGTTCCCGGCTTGTGATTCTTGATGTGATACCGGACAGACATTTTTCTATTCCATCTATCGTCGATCGTTGAACAGCAAGGCCACCACACTGACTGATATTTGTCCGGGGCCGGCGATCCGAGTGAGGAGGAAGAACGAGTCATATAGGGAATGACGATCAGAAACTTGGGACTCGGATCCGTTCTGCTGCCTGCTGCATGCTGCATGCTGATGTATCTCGCTTTGGATATATAGCTATCTCTATCAATCTTTCACTACTGACAACAATCAAGGATCACTGAACAAGTTCAGCAATCTGTAAACTATCTATACTTCTCCTCTCTTCTCATAGAACGCCCCTCAACTCCTGCACAGCCTCACGCTTAGTCCTCTTCGTTCAACTTTGCCGTACCTCGCCATATCCCCGATATCCTACTCCGCTCACTTTGACCAACTTCGCCTAACTTCCCCTACTCCGCTCTCCCTCTGTTTCCTTCCCCTAACTTTGCCGTAGTTCTCCGTCAGGCGGGGTTGTCGTGACAAATAATCCCTAGGTTCTCGTAACTTTGTTGTAGTTGGTCTCTGTGGTTTGGATGACGGTGGATAGGGGTTCTGTGATGGTGGAAGGAGGGTCTGTGATGGTGGTTGTCAGGGATGTCACGACATGGTTCGTGACATTTGCCGAACTTTGCCATTGCTATACTCCAGATGCCTGTACACCTTATTCTCCCGCTGTACTTTGCCGTAGTTGGTCTCAGATGTCCTGAGTTATGTGTAGAGTGAAGAGGTTGAGGTGTGATAGGGGTTTGATGGTCATAGGAGGGTCGTTGTTGGTGGGATAATTGGGGTAGACTGACAGCCCTGAGATCCCTCAGGCACGAGCAGTAACACACACCTGGGGTTAATCAAATTTCAATAGTACATGGATTTCAAAATCATATAGAATCGACACGGCTGAACGTACAGGGTTCATTCCTTTTGAGACAGTCTCAGGATGGGCCAAAGTAGGTGCCTGAAGTGTTCTGACAGCCCTGAGTTCTCTCAGGCACGAGTAGTAACACGCACCTGGGCTTATTCGAATTTCAATAGTACATGGATTTCGAAATCGAATTGAATCGACACGGCTGAACGTAGAGGGTTAGTTCCTTTTGAGACAGTCTCATAATGATTGCGAAAACCCTTGAGAAGTGTTCTGACAGCCCTGAGTTCTCTCAGGCACGAGTAGTAACACGCACCTGTGCTTATTCGAATTTCAATAGTACATGGATTTTGAAATCGAATTGAATCGACACGGCTGAACGTACAGGGTTAATTCCTTTTCAGACAGTCTCAGATTGTCCCAAAGTAGGTGCCTGAAGGGTTCTGACAGCCCTGAGTTCTCTCAGGCACGAGTAGTAACACGCACCTGTGCTTATTCGAATTTCAATAGTACATGAATTTCGAAATCGAATTGAATCGACACGGCTGAACGTACAGGGTTAAT